TTCCCCTCTTTCCTTCTTTCTTTCTTTCTCTTTGGTGGTAGTAGTGGGAGGGATGGGCTTTCTCAATTCAGCCCAACGTTAAATGTTGAAAAATGACCATTAGTAGAAACACACTGAAACTGATGGCTGTTATTTTAATAACTCTAAGACAGAAAACTTAAAATGTAGCTTTTCCTGCCCCAACAGGAGTAGGTCTTATTCTTTGTTATAAAGTACATACCAAATATGGCAAATTAATAATCAAATAAAAATAGATGTGTATAATCATACCTCTGGTTCTCATTTTCATGATCTTAGAGCCTAATAAACTCTTATAATTTACTTTTTAAAAGTTTCAGTTAGATTATAGAAAAATTTGCATCAACCATTTAGCTTGTATAAACTGTATGTAACACAATGTTACAGTCATAACATGAATAGGAGAGCAGATTAAATTAAAAATTAAAACTATACAAACATTATTGTCTCATATCTCTTACCTTTTCTTTGTGATCACAAAGTAGTTCAAAACTCTCCATCTTGCTACATTCATTCATACGTAAATTATCAGCCTTCTGAAGAAGGACATCTAAATTTAATTCCTCTATGTGTGCGTTAAATGCCTTAGGGACTGGAAAACTCTGTTCTTCTGTGTCAGTATTAGCTGTAATATACCTAAAATTCAGAAATAATAAATAATGATCAAATCTCTTGAAAGTTATATTATAATAGGCAGAGTGATTCTTTTAAAATACAAGCCAGTATGCTATGAATACAAGAACAGATAAGCGACTGATGAAATAAAAGGCCAGAAGCAGATCCGTATATTTATGGAGCTGTGGTACATGATGGAGTTGGCCTGTCGGATCACTGGGAAAGTAAGGGAATGGCCAGGAAAAAAAATGGTTATTCCTATGGAAAACAATGAAATTGAATCTCTACCATATAATATTATAAAAATAACTCTGGATGATAAAAGGAATTGTTAAAAATAATATTCTAAACTCTAAGTAGAAACTATAGGTGAATATCTTTCAGTCTTTGGAGCAAAAATTTTTTTTCTTTTTTTTTTTTTAAGATTCTATTTTTTTTTTTTTTTGTCAGAAAGAGAGAGACAGAGCACAAACAGGGGGAACGGCAGGCAGAGGGAGAAGCAGGCTCCCTGCGGAGCAAGAAGCCCAATGTGGGACTCAATCCCAGGACCCTGGGATCATGACCTGAGCCAAAGGCAGACGCTTAACAGGCTGAGCCACCCAGGCATCCAGGAGCAAAAAATTTTCTTAACCAAGATAGGAAAGCATTAACTATAAATGATTAATTATGAATGACTACTCAGTTTAAAATGAAAAACTGCTGCTAATCAAAAGACAATTTCAAAAATATAAGAACACAAATTAAAAACCAGGAATGGATGTTTTGCAACACACCCACATGGAGAACATTGACATCAAGAACACATAAATGCTTTCCTAAAATTAGATAACAAAAGACGCAGTGAACTCAATAGAAATATGCTTGAGAGATATAAATAGACTTTCTCAAATGAGAAAATACATATAGTCAATAAACATAAGAAAAGATGTTCAATGTTCACTAGCAATTAGAGAAATACAAATAAAGACCACAGAGAGATATTATGTAAAAAGTCTGACAATACCAAATGCTGGGGATGAAGTTAATTGACAGGATCCGATGTGAATCCAAACTGGTGAACCCAGTTGGGAAAGCACTTTGGAGTTATCTTTTAATAGTGAATTTTCACATGCCCTAGGACCCAGTAACCCGGTCTTTTGCATATGTGCAAAAAAAGATATGTACAATAGAGACAGCAGTACTTTCAAATAGCAAACACCAGGAAACAACCTAAATGCCCACCAAAGAGTGAATGAATATTATACAACAGTCAAAATGAAAGAAATACAGTGATGTGCAAAATATGAAGGAATCTTTTTTTTTTTAAAGTTTTATTTATTTATATTTGAGAGAGAGAGAGAGAGCACGAGAGGGAAGAGGGTCAGAGGGAGAAGCAGACTCCCTGCTGAGCAGGGAGCCCGATGTGGGACTCGATCCCGGGACTCCAGGATCATGACCTGAGCCGAAGGCAGTCGCTTAACCAACTGAGCCACCCAGGTGCCCCAATATAAAGGAATCTTAACAAACTTATTATTAAGCGGAAAAATAAGCTCTTAAAACTATATACAACACTATCCCCTTTCCATAAAAACAATCAAAATTAAATGTGCATCTTAAGGAATATACACACACCTGTAATAAAATGATATTATTAAAAAAGGAAGGAATGAACAATATAGGTTATACATTTAGGGTAACCGTTACCTTCAGATGAGGGAAGGCACAGGAGCCAAATGGTTTGATGAGGAATATTGTCTAGGTCCTTTCTTTGTTTTAGGAGGTAGTTTCATGGATGCTTTTATATTATTCATAATAACTAGCTAAATGAATAAAAGTGGCACATGCATGGACCAGTCCTTAGAGTTTGTAAGAGCTAAAAGTAGTTTTTAATCCAATTCTACGTACCTGAGATATAATAAGAAAATGATAACCAAAAGGAAGTAACTAGTTTAGTATCAGACATAATATTCTTTAGAGCACAAAGCATTAAATTTAAAGAGGGACACCAACACTAAAGGGTTTAATTTATGATAAAGAAAGAGCAGTTTTAGACTTCTATGCATCTAAAAACACAAGTCTCAGATACACAGAAAACATAACTTAACATATACAAAGAGAAATTGAATCTACTATCAGAACGGGAGATTTTTAACACAACATTCTAAGTAATTGATAAAGTGTAAGAAAAAGTAAGGATACAATTTAAATGCTAAAATTAACAAGCTCAAATCCAACTAACATATACAGAACTAGACATTGAGCCCCTGGAAAACAATGTCATATCTATGACATATCTACGAAAACAGCCACATACACAAGGCCACAAAGCAAGCCACAAATGGTAGCAATCTGTTGTGTAGAACATATTCTCTGTTCACAATGCAACTAAGTTAGAAATCACCACTAAAAAGTAGGTGAGAAAACCTCCAAATTTAAAAATAATTGAAACATTTCCATCTACGTGCCCACTAGAATGGCTAAAATGAAAAGACAAAAAATACCAAAAATTTTTGAGGATTTGGAGCCAACGGAGCTCTTATATATAGCCAATGGGAGCATAAATTAGAACAACTACTTTGGAAATATGTTTGGCAATATATCCTAAGCTGGCATACACATACTCTACGGATCTAGTCATTTCACTCCCAGGTATATACCCAAAAGAAATGTGTACATATGTTTATCCAATCATAATAGTCCATAATGGGAAAGTACCAAAAGCCTATTAGGAATAGGAAGCTTCCACATCAAAAACTAATGATGTGCTGTATGGTGACTAACATAACATAATAACATTTTTTTAAAAAAAAGGAATAGGAAGCTTACATATTGTGGTATATTAACACAGTGGAAGAGTAGTTAGTAGTGAGGATAAATGGCCTTCAACCACACACAACAAAATGGATGAATATCACAAGCTAATATCAACTGAGAGAAGCTAGACACAAAGGAGTATGTAGTGTATTATTTCATTTAGATAAAGTAGAAACATAATTTTAACTAATGTATGCATTTGGAAATCAAGATGGGTTATCCTCTTGGTGCCAGGGAGTGACTGGATGACAGCATGTTGGGAATATCTGAGGTACTAATAATATTCTGCCTCTAAATCTGGGTGCTGACTTTACCACTGTATTCAGTTTGAAAATCCATCTGTGTACTTGTTATTTGTATGCTTTTCCACATGTACTCTGTATTTCATAAAGTTTAAAAAGAATTTTAAAAAGATATATCTCATACATAAAAGAATGTAAGAAAGAAAAGCAGAAGTCATTATAAACAGCATCAGGAATGAAACAAAGAACCATTGTTACTAAAGATAGAGCATAGATTTAAATAACAGACTACGATGAACAATTTTATGATAATAAATTTAAACTTTGAAATGAAAGACAACCACCTAGAAAAATATAATTGGCTAAAACTGCTCAAGGAGAAACCAATCAATTAGTCCAGAAAATGAAATAAAAAGTGCCCAGATTGGAAAGAAGTAAAATTATCTCTAATCACATTTGACATCATCTTGTTCATATAAAATCCTAATAAATCCATAAAAAGCTATTAGAACTAATAAACAAGTTCAACAAGATTGCAAAATACAAGATCAACTTATAAAAGTAAATTGTATTTCTATACATCTAGCAATGAACAATCCAAAAATGAAATGAAGAAAACAATTTCACTTACAATATTATTAAAAAAAAATAAAATTCTGGGGCACGTGGCTGGCTCAGTCAGTTGGGTGTCAGACTCATGATTTTGGCTCAGGTCATGATCCCATGGGTGGTGAGATCAAGCCCCAGGTCAGGTTCTGCGCTCAACAGGGAGTCTACTTGAGATTCTCTCCCTCTGCCCCTCGCCCCACTCATGTGCATGCCTTCTCTGTCTCTCTCCCTTTCTCCCTTTCTCTAATAAATAAATACTCTTTTTAAAAAAGAATAAAATTCAGGACACCTGGGTGGCTCAGTCGTTAAGCATCTGCCTTCGGCTCAGGTCATGATCCCAGGGTCCTGGGATCGAACCCCACATCAGGCTCCCTGCTCCGCAGGAAGCCTGCTTCTCCCACTTCCCCTACTTGTGTTCCCTCTCTCGCTGTGTCTCTCTCTGTCAAATAAATAAATAAAATCTTTAAAAAAAAAAAGAATAAAATTCTTAGGATTGAATTTAACAAAATATGTGCAAGACTTATATACTGTAAACTATCAAACATTGCTGAAATTAAAGAATAGGATCTAAGTATATGAAGTCTCATGCTCATGAATCAGAAGATTTAGTTATTATGATGGCAGCATTCCCCCAATTTATCTACAGATTCAGAGTAATTTCTATTAAATCTCTGCTGACAACATTTTCCCCCAGAAATTGACAAGCTGATCCTAAATCTCATGTGGAAATGCAAGGGACCCAATACGGCCAAAATAATGTTGTAAAAGAGGAATAAAGTTAGAGAATTCACACTTCCAGATTTCAAAATTTACTATAAAGCCACAGTAGTCAAGACAATACTGGCATAAGGATGATAGACATATGGAATAGGGATTAAGGACCTATTAAGAATTTAGAGTCCAGAAATAAACCTTTATGTTTATGGTCAATTTGTTTTGACAAGAATACCAAGACAACTTAGTGGAGGATACAATTTTATTTTCAACAAATGGTACTGGGCCAAATAGATATCCACATGCAGAAGAATGAAGTTGGACCTTTACCTCACACCATATATAAACATTAACTCAAAATGGATCAAAAACCTAAATGTAAGAGCTAAAATTATAAAACTCTTAGAAGAAAACACAGGAGTAAATATATTTGTGATCATGGACTAGGCAATGGTCTAGCACAGGTGACAAAAGAAAAAATAGATAAAATAGATTTTACAAAATTTTAAACTTTTGTGCTTAAAGGAAATTTTCTTCATCAAGAAAATGAAAAGATAATTCAAAAATGGAAGAAAATACTTACAAATCAAATATACTGACATATATCTAACAAGTATACAGATGAATTTACAACTCAATAATAAAAAGACAATTCAATTTAAA